TTTTTTTAAAGTATTATAATGTACAAATGGGCAGCTTTAATGGGCTTCCTAGTTCATATCAGTTAAGCTTTTGAAACATATTCAGGTATCTTTTAAATACTGCTGTGTAAGTTGTTTAACCTGACATATTCTGATTTATTCTTTTACTGCAGTTACCTAAGGCAGTACTTAAAAAACAAAATCAGTGCATTAATTTTTTGCAGACTGTCAGCTATGTTAAGCCTCCAGCTTAGTTTTTATTGATGTATTTAACCCCCTCTCCCTCAGATCTATGGTGAAATGCCTGCATTATTTTTATATTCCAGTGAGGCTTATTTATTGAAACCTTTGCAGCCAGCCCCAGGACCATTGGCTATGAAACTGTGAAACTAATGAGAGATGAAAAACCAGGCTGGATTAGTTAGTTTTACTGCTGGTCATAAAATAGAGAAAGCAGCAGTATAAAGGATGAAATACAATTGGAATTTCTGAAATTATGGAATCACAGAATGGTTTGGGTTGGAAGGGACCTTAAAGCTCATCTCCTTCCAACCCCCCCTGCCGTGGGCAGGGACACCTTCCACTAGAATTCCAAGAGAAATTACTGAGTCTGGGGTGGGGGGAGGAATCACAAAACTATGCCTGAGAAACAGATTTTAACCTGACGCTGTCACTTCACTGGTTCCCCATTTGGTCAAGCGTAAAAGCTGTTTTTTGAGACGAGGAGGTTCCCCGGATTCACCTGCGCGTCTCGGGCGTTGCTTTGATCCGGGGGGTCGTGCTCCCTCGTATTATTTTCGGAGAGTTAACGTGTCTAAGGAAACTCTCTGTATTACTGTGAAGCTTTTCCTTAACCCTCCTTGCACGTGCATTGGTGATGGAACACAATCTCAGCTGCAGGAGGCGGGAGGGGCCGTTCCTGCGGGTGACACCAGGGAAGAGACAGGGTGCAATTGCCCTGCTGACAGATGGGATTTTGGCAAGGGGAGTGACAGCCCAGCCCCACTGCGGCTGTGCCCCGCCCAGGGGGCCCTTCAGTGGGCTGTCAGGGTCAAAGTGAGGGTGGTTTGTGCTGCAGACGCAGGCAGGGGAGGTGTAGGTGGCCTGCAGGTACTTTCCTCACGTGTTAGAAGGTCTCCCAAGCCGGGTTTGTGTTGCTGGGGGAGGCAGCCCAGGTGGAGCGTGGGTGAATTTGGGATGGAGAGCAGGATTTGCCGTACCCTTTGCTCCAGACCAACCCCCTGGTCTCCCCTGGGGTGCTGGCTGGGATAGAGAGCTGACTGCAGGCAGGGCTCGCTGTGCCAGGGCAGGGGCTGGGAGGGATGTGGTGCAGGGAGTGGGGAGTGTTGTTGTTCCAGTAACACCTCTGTTCTGTGTTCGCCTCTGTAACGTTGCTGACAGTCAGGACAGGCCAAGGGCTGCGAGAGCAATCCTTGGGGCACAGCAGGGACTGCTCTGAATAAGCTGTTTGAGCAGCTGAGGTGGGAGGAGAACACCTAGGTGTGTGTTCCTGCAGGAACACACCCCTCACCCCCTGCCCCACGCCTGCAGGGAGGGTTAGGGAAGGATGAGGATCAGAGGGTACTTCATGGAAATGGAGGCAAGGTATTCAAAGTACTGCTTTAGTCTGTAAAGGGAAGGGAAGCAATGCAGTTTTCCCAGGCCCCTGGTGTGTTAAACACTACCTGGAGCTCCCAGGAGCTGTGTCCCCATTGTCCCCAGAGCTCGCCTCCTTCCCCTGGTGTCCCCCCACCTTCCCTGTACAACACTGTGAATAAGATACCAGTAGCTCTTTGTAACTTCCATTAAAAGTGCCCGGAGCAGGGAATGCTGTCCTGCTGCAGGAGCAGGGGCTGTGACCCCCAGACAGGGCAGGGATGGTTGAGCCTCCCCTGTGGAGCGCAGGGAGAGGATTGCAGGAGCTCACGAGGGAAGTGGCTTT